CAGGCCTTTGGCTCCAGGTGACATAGGAGGGGTGAGGCCCTCTGCAGTCACTGTGTCAACAGAAAGTCATTGTGGAGAACACCACTAAAGGGAATGGGGAGAAGGCATAGAAAGGGGTGAGGGTGTAAGGCTGGGCACAGCCCCATGAGGGGTTGCCTGGTAGGGTGGGTATCAGGAGGGGACTGCAGCCACTGCTCTCCCCTGCCTTCTGTGTCTACACCTTTGCTCTGAAGCCCTCCCTACCCTCTGGTGTGGGCACTGAGATTAGATGTCACTGTTGCCACTGAGAGGCAGCTGTGGCCTGCTTTACACAAGACTCTGGTGAGGTGAGAGGGCAGGGTTAGAGGCAGAGGAGCAGAGTGGCCTCCAATGCGAGGCCAAATCCCTTTTTCAAGGAGCTGCCAAGGGCAGGGGGAGGGCTCCTGCAGGACCTCCTCTTTCTGAGATAGTCTCCCCACCCAATGGGCCCACCTCTTATTTTTTTCCTTGTCCTTCTCTCCACGTTCATCTCTTTTCTTTTCTTCCATTTCCAAAGATCTGGTGGTCTGTCCTCCTGAAGCTGGGGTACCTGGAGGCTGTAGCTAGTAGGGTTTCTCTCTCTCTCTCTCTCTCTCTCTCTCTCTCTCTCTCTCTCTCTCTCTCTCACACACACACACACACACTCACACATGTGTGTGAGCACACACACACAGTGATTTCCTGACTGACATCAGGCTGCCCCTTATCGGAAGTGCTTCCTGCACAGGGACTGGGTCCTCCGCACTGGGAGGTGGAAGGTTTGGGGTGGCTGGGTGCCCCCTTTGCCGTTCAGAACAAACCGTTTGTTCCCCTGTGACACAGTGTCCTGTGGGCACGGAAGCAAGAGCAGAATGCTGGGACTCAGGAGGCAGCCTCTCCCTGGTTCTCAGCCTCATCTTAAAAATGGGAGGTTGATCTAACGGGGCTTCAAGTCAGAAGGGATCTGCGATGTCATTCAGTCTAGGGTCTGCCCTGTGTGGGAACCTCTGCCCCAGAGGTCCTGGGTGGCAGTCACACAGCCCCTACTAGAAGCTCTGCAGGAGCCCTTCACCTTACCTTTTAGGGACTCGTTGCTCACTGGAGGGTAACAGCCTAAGAACCTGCCCTCCCTTATCCTCCATTCCGTAATTATTTATTAAAGGCTCACTCTGGCCAGTGTGCCTCCCAGGGCTGCTGGGTGGTGAAAGCGGTGCAGCTTCAACTGATTACCCTAGGAGGCCCCAGTCCCACCAGCAGGTGCTTCAACAGGGCAGCTGTAACTGCTGTGTGCCCAGGACTGTGCCAAGCTTCAGCTTCCGCACCACCTCAATGAGGCGGCATGCTTGTCCCCATCTTATACGGAGGAGGCTGAGGCTCAGGGGTTGATGGGCCACAGCCCCCAGCTTGGGAGTTCTGGAGCAGACACAAGCCCAGGTGGGCTCTCTGCTTCCAGCCTGAGCTCTCAGGCTCTGCGCCTTTTTCTGAGAGATACCTGCTCTTAGTCACCCTGTCTGCAAAATGGAAATAATTCCACTTGCCTGTTGGATGTATTAGAAGGTTTAAGAAAGATAATGCATAGAGGACACTTAATTCTTAGTTGCTGGCAGCTAGTTCTAGCTTGTTCAATGGTGGCCAACACTTTTATAATGGACTCTGCCCCTGCATGTCCCCAGCAAGGCCACTGAAGCTTCTCTGCTCCTTCTTCTTTGGAGCATGGAGTTAGAGTGCCTGTTCTCCTTAAGGGGTGCTTTGGCCAGAGTGAGGTCAGTGGTGGAGAGAGGGGCCTCCCTCCACACACGGGATCTGTGGCTAGCCTAGTGGCTAGCCAGGCCGGCAGGCATCAAGCTTTAAATAGCTCTGCCTCTCTCCTCCCAGGCCAGCTTCCCACACATGGGTAATTAAGCTCACAACATTTAGTGTAAGCAAATAATAACAAGGGCATTATCTCCCTTTAGTCTGTGTTTTTACTTGCCTATCATAAAGTAATTAAAATAATGAATGCCTTGTAAAACAATAGGTAAGAGGGCTGGTGAAATAGCATTATCTGCCACATACCTCTTGTGCTGTGAATTTCTGATGCAGTTAACCACTGTGACTGGAGGGCCCCCCTACCTCCCAGCCTTTTTCACATTGATTTCTCCTCTCCAGAGTCTACCAAGGGGCCGTGGAACCTGGGTCCCCAGGACTAAGGAGCAGGTAGCTTGCCTTCTAGGCCCCCACATGGTGGCTCAGGACCAGTTCGGAAATATCCTGGGAAGCTTGACTCAGAAGGAAACAGTAGAGCCCCAGATTTTAGGTCCATCTCCCCGCCCTCTTCTTTTCCCCACCACTCCACCGATGTCCAGTTTCGAAAGAAGCAAATGGTTCCGTCCTTGGAGAACTGGGAGTAAAGATCCATGTCCCATTTCAGCAGTCACCAAGCCATACCAGGGTGGTCAGGAGCTGTGGTCCCCAAAGTGGGCTCCCAAGGCCAGCAGCATCAGCATTGCCTGACAACTTGGTGCAAATGTAGGTTCTGGGAGGGGCCCGGCATACTGTTTCAACAAGTCCTCCGACGCGCTTATGATGCCCACTCATTTGTGAGCACCACTGCTTTATAGTGCCAGAGGCACGAGAAGCAGCAAGGGGTGCTGGGATGATTACTGGAACCCGTATTTTGTAGTGTTGGGCACTATTTAATCCTGACAATGCCTGAGGGGCTGGGAGTACTGTCCCCATCTTATGGAAGAGGTCCCACAGCGGTGGGAGAGCTAGATTTCCCCCCGAATCTATGCATTTAGTTACTATGGCTGCCCCTGTATCAGGGCCTCCCCCTCCTCCTAAATACCCTCCTGTTCAGAGTCTCACAGAGCAGAGACTCGAGGACCAGGGCAAGACCTAACAGGTCCTATCTGAGACTGGCCTAGGAGGCTTGGGCAGCAGGTCCCACACATGTCAGCAGGCAGCCCCTGTGGCCTCCCCCTCCCAGGCCTCCTCTTGGATCATTCTAGCTCCCTGGAGCTTAACACACTTGGAAATAAAATATTACCATCCAGGGCTACAGATGTGGCTTCTCTCTTCCCCAGCTTCCCTGAGCCACAGGCAGCCAGAGGAACAGAAGTGGAAATCGAGAGCAGCTTCCTGTCTGCCGTGGCCAAGTCCCCAAGAGGATGACTCACTAGTGCACCCTCACTGCTTGCCTCCCACGTGCCTGGCCTTCCTCTGCCTCACCCCCTGTGTCACTGCAGACAAAGCTTTTCACCACCGTCTTTGGTTCTTCCCCTTACTCTAAATCACAATGATTCCCCTGTGTGGCTTTGCCTTGGGAATTAAGTCCAGAGTTTTAAATGATGAACTGAATTTGCTGGCATCTTTTTAAACATCTTCATTTGCAGTAATAATTGCAGTGGGTATTTGTGTTGGGGTCCAGTTAAATGTACATTTTTAGATAAATAATGAATAAGCTTTTAGTGTTAAGTATGTTCCAGGTAGTATTTAGAGAATATACTTGTACTAAAAAGTTGTTTGTTATTTATCTGAAATTTAAATTTTACTGGGTATCCTGTATTTTATCTGGCAACACTAAACCCAGCCTCTGTGGCCAATGAGGGGCTGATACTCACAGCCCTTTCTAGTCATTCATTCATGTTTATTGAGCCAACTCTGTGCCAGGCACTCTGTTAGGCACCAAGACTGCAGCAGTGGGGGAGGCAGACGTAAGTGAAAGAAATAAATGATTTATTAAGTATATTAGAGGTTTTAAGTGCTATGGAGAAAAACAAAGCAGAAAAGTGCTGTTGGAAAGAAAGTGTTGCAAATTTAAACAGGTAGCCAGGGAAGACTTTATTGAGCAAAGACAAGGGAGCAGGCCATAAGTCTCTGTGGGAGAAGAGTATTCTAGGCAGAAGACTAACTGCGTGCAAAAGTTTACAATTTAGACCCCTATATGGGGCTCAGTTATCTAATGAGATCAGCCTTGTTTCCTCAAGCACATTTTAAGTCACAAGGGAAATTTATTGTCTTCTGTAACTGAAAGGTTCTGGTGTAGATTTCAGGCACAGCTGAATCCAGGTGTTCAAATGATATCAGTATTCTATCACTTTTTCTTTTCTCTGTGGTGATTTCATTCTCGGGGAAGAATGACTTTTCTTTTCTTTCCTGCAAATGCTTGAGTCTTATTGGGTTGGTATGGATAGTGTGACTATTCATGGCCTAATGGCTGTTGGCAGGGGGTAGAAAGGACTGATTGATTAGTTTCCAACATTGGAGCCAATGTGAGGCCATCTTTTCCATTTGAACCACTTAGACTGAGATGAAGAGATAATAATTTTCTTAAAGGAAAGTGGGGGTGCTGCTGTGAGAAAGGCCATAGAAGCTGGGCAGGCAAAGACCATGGCATCCCTCCCACACTTTCCTCCTCCCTCCTCAGCATGCCCTAATCTTAGACCAGTTGCGTTTTCTTCTGCTTTGGTGGTTTTTTTTTTTTCTTTAAAATGGGAGGAGACCAACACTTTGGGATGCTGAGGTGGGCAGATCACTTGGGGTCAGGAGTTCGAGACCAGCCTGGCCAACATGATGAAACCCCATCTCTACTAAAAATACAAAAATTAGCTGAGCGTGGTGGTGCACACCTGTAATCCCAGCTACTTGGGAGGCTGAGGCACGAGAATTGCTTGTACCTGGGGAGTAGAGGTTGCAGAGCTGAGATTGCACCACTGTACTGCAGCCTGGGTGGTAGAGTGAGACTTCATCTCAAAAAATAAAATAAAAAATAAGGGAAAAATACCATCTTTCTTACTTTCAATAAGATATTTTAAGAGGAAATAAAGAAAATATTCTTTTTTAAATAAAGATTTTTTTTAAATCAAAGGCATAATTTACCCCTTCTGCTTTACTCCTCTACCTTTAAGCCAGTTTCTACCTGAGCTGAGGACCCCCTTCGGGCTCTGGTTCTTTATGGGTAGGGTATGTTATTTAAATCCAGTGGTTCCCTATATCTCAACTCTTGCTTTTTCTGTTGCCAGGAAGCCCAGAAGATTAACAATGGCTCAAGCCAGGCGGATGGCACTCTCAAACCAGTGGATGAAAAAGAGGAGGCAGTGGCCGCCGAGGTCGGCTGGATGACCTCTGTGAAGGACTGGGCGGGGGTGATGATATCCGCCCAGACACTGACTGGCAGAGTCCTGGTGAGTCTCCACCCCCTTCTCATACCAGGAGGCCTTGCTGTGTGGGCCAAGATGGCTTTGCTTATGAGACCTGATGTGCCCCAGGGTCTCCTGCAGGAGGCTGGCTACTGGGAGGTGGGGGTGAGCAGCAAGTGCTCCCATGTGGTCGTGAAGGAGAGGCTCCATTCTTTGTGTACAGTGGTTTGTGGAGGGATTTTCAGGGAGTGGGGTTTGCAGTAGAGAGGGGTTGTTGGGAGGATATGGCACGTTTCCACATGCACATGGGCACACACACACATGCACACACCCTCCATCATCTTGGAGAGGAGAAGAGGGTCAAGGAAATATAACATACTAGAAACTTATGGAAGGGCCACAAATGCTGGGATCCTGGGGAGTGCTGAGTGTGTGTGAGACAGAGAGAGAGAGAGAGAGAGAGAGAGAGAGAGAGAGAGAGAGAGAGAGAGAGAGAGAGAGTGTGTGTGTGTCTGTGTGTGAGTGCATGCGTGTGTGTGTGTGGTGGCCTTCAGGGGATGTTCTCGTTGTCTTCTCTTAGCCTGTAGGGACCTCTGCTTGGAGCAGTTTCCAGATTTTCTGCAGTGAGCTGGGCCCTGTGCATGGCGAAAATCAGTCATGCTGATGGTGGACACATTAGCAGCCCACCTGAGGCTGCCTGGCCTGTGTGCCTGAAGCTCCCTTGTGTGCACTTTTCTGGTGAGGTTGTCTCCCAGGCCCACCTGCAGCCAGGGCTGATCCTGCCCCTTCTCTGTGCAATTCCAGCATCTCTCTGATCTGCTTATATGAAACTTGGCTTCACTGGCTGGCCTCATGAGCCCCTGGTTTTTGTCAAGGATCATTAGTGGGACAGGCCTGTGGTGACCAACAATCCCAGTTTTCCTGGGACTGAGAGGTACATGGGACATGAGTCTTTCAGTGCAAAAACTGGGAAGGTCCTGGGCAAACAGGGATGAACTGGTCACCACAGCCAGATCCATACTCTGGGAAAGCCCTGCCCTACGGTTTCTTGGGTCTGCTCTAGGTCAGGAGTGATTTCTCATTGTGATTCTGGAAGCTGTTTTGTTTGGGCCACCTGTCCTGGCTTGAAGCTAGGGCTCAGTCAAGAGTCATTTGGCTCATAGATGGAAGGAGTAGGGCCTGTGTGGCTCAAAGACCAGGCAGGGAAACTGGGAAACAGTCATTATCTCTGAGTTTCACAGCAAAAACTCAGTGAGGAGGTGATTGTAGATGGAGGAAGGTGGTGAGAATTTCACTTCTCAGGATCCTTCTTGGAAAGAACTCAATGTTATGTCTGGAATCAATATCACACACAGTTCTTGAGGGAAGGAGTGAGAGACTGAATGTGGTGCTTTATCAAAGGTACCGGCTATACAGCCTTCAAGGACAGGTTCTGTTCACTGAGGGATCTGTCTTGAGCTATGTGCTGAAGAGACTGGATATGAAACTGTGGCTGATATCAATTGATAGCAAAATGGAAAGAGGGGACATTTAAAGTTGGAGTTTTGGAGGAGGAGAGAGAAAGTGATGAGGTCAGTGGCTGCTTGGAGGAAGGCACAGGAGGGAGACAATCCAGTCTGGTGTGACCCAGGAGGGATGGTGTGTAGTGGGGACTTGGAAGTGCCTTGCTCTTGGCTGTGCTATGTAACAGCCCTTCTGTATCTCTTCCTGCCTCTTCAGTGAAGTCTCCATTGCTCTTTCATGCTTAAGGAAGAGCAGATTATTCTGCATTGGAAACTTAGAGGTTAAATTCTGGGTCTGGGTATTCATGGGGACACAATGGATGCATTCTACATGTATGGTGGTGATAATGAATGGGGAGCAGGAGACAGTTTGGTTGCACAAATGTGACACTTGTTCCTTCCATGTGGCCATTATAGACAGGTCTAATTTTCTTTATCAGCATTGCCAAGAGTTACTGAACACGAATTCTGGGCCAAGTGTATTTGTGTTTTCAGCTCTGTGGAAAACAAGGAAGGATCCTGATTCTATTGTGCCATGTAGGGAAGTTATTGAAGGGATGTATGGACGACAGGTGCTGTGGGTACAAACACAGTGTGCACATGTGTGGGTGTGAGGAGGGGCTGTGGGGGAAAGTAGGGCTGATCAGAAAAGCCTCATAGGGAGGAAAGCCTTTGAACTAAAGCTCCCATTTCAAGATGAACTAAGCATGTGCTATATGGTGGGAAGATATCAAAAATAAAAACATATCCAAGCCTAAACACAAGAAAATGACCACTAGGTGGGCCAGAATCTGTGAAGAATATCTAATAAGACAGAATGCATTTGCAGTGAGTTTTGTTGTGTGAGTTAGGATCTTGAGAGTCAAAGGAGAGGAAAGCCTTCAAAGTGAGGAGCAGGAAAAGCAGAGAAGGAGACTGGTATCCTGGGGAATGGGGGGTGCAGACCCCAAAGTCTAGGGGAGTGTCCTGGAGACGGCCTGGTGGGGCTTTAAAGGCCAAGCTAAAGAGTTTTTGGAGTTTATAGAACAAGGAGATTTTGAGGCAGGGGTGTTGTACAGAGAGAGCTAGGGGACAAGTGGAGACTGAATGGGTGAAGCTGGAGCTTGGAGGCTATAGGACAAGTTAGGGCAGTGAGCTACTGCCTTAGTGATGGCTTGGGAGCAGATTCCTGCTGTAGTCCTGGTGAGGCACAGTCTGCAGTGGCACTAAGCGGAAGATGCAGGTGGTAGACATGGGTATTATTGTGGAAGCAGAACTCATTGGGCCAAGCACACCCAGTGGCCACCTTGATCCTCTCCTGGCAATCACACTGTTGAAAGCCTCTTAGGAGCCAGTCACTGTCTAGGCCTTATATGTTATGATCAATTTGAAGGGCAGGGACAATGTCATATTTCTTCCATATCTCCTTACTGCTGTTTGTTGTAGGGGTTCATTAGAAGAAAACAAGCCAATCTTATCAGTGAATTCATCTCTGTTTTATAGTTGAGAAAAATCAAGACATAGCAAGGGCAATGAGTTGTCTAGAAACATTCAGCTTTGAGTGACAGAGCCAGGCTCCTACCTGCCAGCTCCCTGTCTCCCAGTCGGGTGTTCCTTTTGTGTCATTACTTCCCAGTTGAAGATAATGCCTTTTCTTTTCTAAGCCTCTGCAAGCTGTCGCTTTGTCTGTGACATTTTGACATTAACATCTTCTAGCCACTTTGGTCCTGAGGATGCTTGGCTGGCTTAACATGTACATGCTGAAGCATGGTCCACGCAGGGCTCTTTGTCTGAGCCTGCCCAAGGTGCCAGCTGCTCTCTGAAGGTTTCCTTGGAGAAAATCCTGCCAAGGCTGCTGGGGCCACCCAGAGCAAAGTGGGACCCACTGCAGACAGCAGGCATCTCAGAGCTCTAGGAGGTATCCTGAGAACAGGCCTGTCTGTGGGGAGCAGGCAGGTCTCTGCAGTGAGCAAAGAACGGATTTCACAATGAAGTCATGGCGTGCAAGAGAAAGCAGCTTGGCCTGTTTGGAACCCAAAGCTGTGTTTGTCTTGAGCCGTCCCAATGTTTATCCCTGCAACAGGGGGACCAAAGCAAGACCAGATACCTGGCTATTCAGTTTCCCTTTTCAATTTTTAATTTGTTTTCCTTGATGCATGCTCAGGAGCTTGGCCTCCACATCTGGGCCTCTATCTCACTTGCCTAATTGTCACAGGTGAGAATCTCGAAGCTGGAACATCATGAATAAGGTCCAGCTGGGGAAAGATTTGCCAAGACAATCTCAGAATATCTATAGGATCTCTCAGATGAGCACATCTGTTATTCACTAAGTGCTTATTTCTCACATGTACCTTACACTGTTCAAGGTACTGAGCATAACGCAGTGAGCAACAGAGCTCCAGAGTATGAATTATTTATATTGATAAACTAGATATAAGGGTGCAGAGCTCAATTTAAGAAATGACAAATGATAATTGCCATTCACTGGTGCTTTTTATAGTCAATGCCTGGAGCCCGATCACCCACATGATAAAAATTCCTTGACCCCTCAGCTCCAGATCTCAGAATAGCCTGTCTTTGCCTCCTCTCTCACCCTGGCACCCAGGCTCAACTGCCCAAAAACAGTAGGACAGGACCGAGCCTTCTCTTGGAGCATGTGGTGGAGGGATTCCACATTAAAGTGAAGGCCAGGCTGTCAAGGTACTGCTTCCTTTAATATTTTCTTAATAAACAGATGTTTATCTTCTGATTATGAACGTAATATATGTTTGCTTTTTTAAAAATTTTGAAACATACTGGAAGAAGCGCTGATAAATTCCACTCTGGGATTTGGAGTTGGCTCCTGCAGAGGGAAATTTGGATATAGTAGTCAGTATCGTCAGGATTTCTCTCAATCATTTGGGTGTCGTTGAGGACTTTGTTCACTGCATCTCATGTTACCCACTTTATGCACAGACTCACGGGATAAATAGTTTTTTTTGTACCAGAGATTGTTGTGGTTTTCCTGGTGAATATCCACTGAACATGCTAAGTCGAGAAAGGGCTCATGTCTCTTGGGGGTGGCTGCTCAGAGCCAAGTTGGTGGCTTATGGAAAATACGGAGCGTCTCAGGTTTGCACTCTGTGTCTTTGCACCCCTCCCCTGACTTGCCTTCGTCATCTGTCCTCTCATTTTCCCTTTGCCCTACTTTTCTTACTCCTATTTGAAATTTACATGTATGCAGTTGTGTGCTCCATACATTTTTGTCAGGTAAATTAAATCCTTTTAAGAATAAGGGGGTTTCTAAATAAAGAGGGCAAGAAACATGTGAAGTCGGGTTTAGTATAGTTTCATTGTACTGTATAGAATCATAAGCCAAAATCAATAGTGATAGTCAAGTTCAGGGTCAGTAAGTTTTTCTGTTAAAAACCAAATAGTAAATATTCTAGGCTTGTAGGCCATGTGGACTCCACTGCTCAACTCTGCCACAGTAGTTTGAAAGCAGCCACTAACAGCCTTGACGTGACTTTGTTCCAATAAAACTTTCTTTATAGAATGGGGGAAAATATTTGCAAACAATGCATT